CGAAATAAGGGTTTCGCACCCGTTGGGAGCCGATGACTGAAGATTTAGTTCATACGCCTTTCGGATGACGAAAGCCATACCGGGGGCTTACCACTCCCGAAGCCAAAGGCAGGAACCAATGCTCGGATTGCTTGCCGGTATACAATGTCCCCGAGAAGACAAGGGGCAGTGACGTTATTCAGTGCCGAGTCACACCCCCCACATCGCAGAGTTGTTAAACGGACTTATGTGGCCTTTATTATAGTGAGAACGTTTGCCAGGCGTAAACCCACTACGTCCTGGAACACTGCCGCCGAATCATACGCCGGAACCGGAGATACTCGAACCACCCAGCTGGCACCACGAGGATCTTGTCCGGCAGGCCGTACTCAGGAAACTCCCAAATTCCCGAGCAATCAAACAAAGAACGCAGGGATTTCTGAAACAAAAATACGAGCACAATAGTGTGTACACTGACTGTTTGCGTCAGAATTTACATCATCCAGTCGACGTGGAAGATATATGAACAAAATTTTACCACATACCTCGAAGAATGGGGATGCGAAGGATATTGAGGTAGCAGATTGCCAACCAGTAAACGTTACTGTAGTTAGCAAGCAGTGGTGTCTATCACAATCTCGATAATACGCCCTACACCAAACCACAGTTAGTTTACCAACTGCAGACGAATGATAAAGCGACACTTCACTTCAAAAGTGTGGAACGGTAGCGAGCCATTGAAGGAAATAGATCATGCCAAGATCACTGGTCATAGCACAAGCTAAACACACTGTATGTATCGCCGAAATCAATGGACTCAAAGTTAACGCCGATAGCACTAAACGAATGCGGCGATGCAAAAAGGGTACAAACATATGAGACGATTTCGTAGTAGAAGGTGTACCTTAATTAACAGCATCCAGTAATGATAACATATGATCCGACACTGCAGAATGGACTTCGATCCTATACATAGAAGCAAGTCAGAACTGAGAGCTCAAAGGGGGACAGACATGCAAATCACTAAAATGGACACTTTACAAACGTATGCAACTAGTCAAATCATAAGCAGCTGTGGTGAACAAGTGCAGGTAGTGCTTACCGCCATGTGAGTTGCAAACAGGGTCACATGGCACAGAGGGAAATCAAATTGCAACGTTGAATTAAGTGGGTCACAAGGCTAGGAAATTATACAAAGGGTTAGATAGACGCGATTCGATGCATAATGGAAAAAAAACAATGGAAAGGCAAGACTGGAAGTACCAGCCCCAAAGGATTAGAGGAGAAAGGCGAAAAACTAACCACGCAGTCATCGAACGTGTAATCACGGGGAATGTGTGAGTTTCGGACAATCATTCATCATTGTACGTAACGTTCGAAGCAAAGCAGAAGTTTCGAGCCTTGTATGCAACCGAAGACACTATGTCACTTGTTAATTGTTTCCGCATCAAAAAAACACCGAAAAGTGTTGTTCGGATTGAAGTGCCAAGGCGCGGTCTGGATCACCCTCATTTCAACAGCAATAAGAATAACAGCAATCAAAATAAAAATGACGGGAGAAAATGAGGGAAAAGGATAGCGAGAAAAATGTGTGAAGATAATCGAAATTTAGAAAGCAAACAAACAAAAGTATACAAGAGGTCAAACGCAGAAGCGCTACTGACTCCGTAGCTCTAATATGTTAACTGAGGTCTCCAATCACAAACGACGCTATAAGCAAGAAAGAAGGAACGTCCCAATCCGACCGACCATCTAACCAAAGTATTCAAACCTTTTCGTAAAGTCACCGGCTACTCATCTCATGGCTTCATCTATCTGAGTGAAGCGATAACAAACAACAGTTCGAGGAGAGAAGTCGGCCGTAATAAGAATAACTTAACCTATTAAATGTGGGCGGTTCATATTCAACAAAGCGACGCTTGACGGTCTAGTGTCAAGCGCCAACTAGTGGATTATTACATTATCCACTATGAGAATCCTCTGAGAAGGCCGGCGCTCGAAAATGACCAGTCCCTTAGTAGCCTCAGCGCGAAGCAAACAGCCTCTGATTAATTGATAACGTCAGTGCGCCGCAACCAACCTTTGACCATTATGCTGACGTCCAAACCTTTTACGGACGGTAAGCGCTTGAAAGGCAGGAGGGATTCTAATGACGCCCGCGGAAACCTCGTACATGTTTTCGCAGCGAAGCATAGGAAAAATTCCGGCGTAGGTGAACCAGCTGACCAGCCTGAGTGGCCGTTTTGGGATGGTGAAAAGTGTTGAAGTGACGGTCCAATGCACCAACAGTGTGCCATCATCTGAGTGAGCGAAACACAGACTTTGCGTACCAGCCTGTGCAGCAAAGGCTGTAAGGACAATGGGTGCGAGCCGATGACATTTCAAGCCTGCATATTCAAACCTTGCTAATCGTTCATCAGGAAGTAGCACAATTCCGGAAAAGGCTTACGTTATGGGACACTTACGGTCAGTGGAATCATGAAAGTGGAAATACCGGATGGATAAAGTAGTCACAGTGCAACCCGCGCATTGCGAAAAACTCGTGAGAGCTTCGTGCAGTCGGTGCATACAGTTCAGAACAGAAAAGATTTTCTCAATTGTATCCTGTAAACAGCGTCGCGATCAGCTGAATCGAACACGGTTCGTAACCCGTTCAGGGCAACCAAGGTGGGCCATTTGTGGTTGTGGTGCCATACAAGAAACCGGCAAAGTGAACATACGGACAAAGCATCCTTTAACGGAGCGTAAGCCTGTGTGGCTTTCCCCGATTGGATCTTGTCAGTTGGCAGCTAAAATATGATGCATGTGAACCTTTTGAGTCTATGACCATGAGATGAATGTTTCGATTATTTTCGCATAGCATTCGCTAACTCTTTGTAAAGATGACAGTTGAAAAGCGATATATCCAAGACCTTTATCCAATGATCATCGTGTCCGTATTGTTGGAGATCTGAGTGAGGGATAAGAGTAGTTGCAAGCAGGGCATCAGCAGTACTCCGGCACACCGTACCGACGCTTCGCTGTCACACGACCATTACAGGTCTCGTGCATGTGGTGGGTGTGCCGCGAGGTCTACCGGTTTTACGCGGGTTCGAACCGGTGAGCTCAAGATCACAAGGCATGTGTGTGGTCCTTTCGGCCACCGGCCGAGAATTCATCTTTGAATAGAGAAGACAAAGGAATAAACGGTGTCTCCACTGTTCGACAACAACGACGGATGAAGGCCACCAAGGCCGACATCTTGTTCACCCCAAAAGAGCATGCCCATATTAGATCTCTTTGGGAGAGACAGTCGTGCCACGAAAGTTGAACGCGGGTCCCAGTGACGTAGGAGATGGTACTAAGACAAGCCGGTGGAAGTGGTATTCCATATGCCTCCTTAAACGTTAATTTAGAAGGGCTGGAACATCGACCAACAATTCGGCGCTTCCATTAACAGCTTCCTGGGCACGCGCATCAAATGAGTTGGAACAGAAAGCTGATGGCGTCCTCCGTCCCACAAGTGACTGATATCCACCGGCGTTCCGGATCAACCATGAGACCCCCGGACGGACAACATTTCAGTGCTATAAAAAGTAAGAAACCGATTTAGTGGTAGCACCAATTTACATAGTGACCTTAACAGAAACCTCACAAATCCACCCAAGAACAAGACATATCAAACTAGCTGTGTAAATCAATCCAATGGTTTCTAACTTGCGAGTTTGGGGTGATCGCAACCGGCCTCGGATTCGGTTAACTCGTTCGTTAGTGATAGCTGGTGAGCCGATTCTGTTCAAGATTGCTTAGTCGCAAGAAGCGACAGGCGGTTTGACCGGACCGAAAAAGTGGGCGATATGCGGCGAGCGATGCCGCGTGACTGGGATCAAACTGAACGAACCGAATCGCCTGACAACGTCGTCCTGTAGCGCACCATATGTAACAGCTGAGCGAAACATGAGCCCATTGTTCAGAGGGCGCCAGTTGATGCGAGGCAAACTTATGCGCAGAACGAGTGAGATGCAGAGATAGCAATTGTGGTTGGCACATAGTCTGAAACAGGTTCTAGAAAAGCCTCAAAGGCGGCATTCGGTCCAGTACGGGCGATTCAGTCGAGAATTTGTGTCATCTGCAACAACCACACTATCCATTTCTTTGGTCAAATGGATGGTGGATGAGGATTGCGGTAAGAATCCGCCTTTGGAGTTCCATGAGAAGTAACCATGGGATGCGTAAACAGAAGTGATAAAAAGGCACTGAGTCTTTACACCATGTTTAATAACTTCGGCGGACAGTCGAAGTTGGAGCGCACAAATGTGGTTATTCCTGGCGTCTTGTGGACTGGAAAGCAACACCGAAACAGTGGTGTTACCCACTTACACCGAATAGGCATTATCATGGATGATGCCGTCAAAAGTTAAGTAAGGTAGTGCTGCCAGGATCCGCGTTCTGGGGTCACAGTGCACATTTAACCTAAGAGAGCGACAAATCAAATCGAACACTGGAAGTTCATCGATAGCGCATACAGTCTGAATGCTGAAGGGGATCCTATGTTTGAAGAGAGTTAAGTATATCGTCAACGCACGTCATCAAGTCAGGGTAGCGTCGTGCTGACTAGAATGGATAGAAGAGACATCCAAGTGTTTCAGTATAAAAGTAATCCGATGATTCGATAAACGCATAGTAGCTGTCTCACCGCGTTGATGATACATCTGTCATATTGGTAAGCTAGGATGACCCCGTCGGGAGTCCAACCCCACTAACAACATACATGTGTCCATTTACCACTTTTCGAAGGAAGAAGCTCGTGTGTAAAGGAGAAGGTGGAGAGTAAAGGATGTGTTGAATAGCAGTTTAAAACGAATTAGCCGAATATCTCAGAAAGGCCAAGAGACAATGGTTGAATGAGCCGGACTATAATATTCTTGTAAGCTGTAAGTAAGCTCTAAGTATCTCCAGGTGCTGTGCCATACATATCATCAAATGACAAAGCATAGAGTGTAAGGATCCATAGTATGCGCCAACAAAGAATGTGAGCCTACCTGTAGGACCCAAAGGATCGGGGCCATTCGTAGGAAGAAGCTCTGTGCAGTCCGACATCCTGACAGACGATCGAAGGGATGAGGGTATCAATGACTTGCGATCAGAGAGAATATTGGACAATATATCCTAACGGTACGACAAACGAAAGCAAAAAAGAAAATATTTAGCGCTTAGGACATTAAGAACAGAGTAAGCATAACGAGTTTATCGGTTGTGGCAGTTAACAGATGGGTAGCAAGAATACTCTGCTCATGATGAGTCTCAATAAAATGCACCATCATATTTTTCTAGTTGCTTCTCGTGAACGCTGTGAGTGGGGCCTGGTGTCACAGCGTTCACATTTACAGCAGAAATGACGACAGAGTGACCCATTCGTTTTCATCATTGCGTGTTGCCTTTCACGGAGACAATGGTACCCAACTGAAGCTCGACACCAAGCGTCCCACAGTGAATTTCTATCAGGACAAATAAAAAAGGACAGGAGAGAGTAACTAGACCACAAATAAACAAACCCGCCTGTAGTGTAGGATAACAAATTTAAGCGGAGCGTTGGGTCCCTGTTTAACAAACGAAAGGCGCATGAACCGAGCAATCAGTCACCGGCTCCCAATACGCGCTATTCCCTGAATTCCCTCCGCTACCTTGAGGGCAGGCAATTCGGCTAATGTCTCAGAGTGGTGTTTTCTAAGTCAACACCCTACTTCGGCTTGGGCAACCGGGTAGCACCTCGTCCTCTGACGAAAGCATGGACTTTGATGTGTTGTGTCTGCCTTTACTATTTCTGTATCTTACTTTGAGTTAAATGGTTTCTCACACTACTGCGGATAGCGTCCTCCGGTCGGTTATTGTTGGCTGTATTGACAAGATCACTTTGTGTTAACTTTCTGCGTTCATTGGAAGTATTTCGTGGAAATTGAGCTACAATTCAGTTTCATTTCCGATTCAGAAATTTCCGACCAGAAATACTTGTATTTCATCGTTTGGTTTCGGCGATCTTGCTATCGCCACTTTCTTCGTCAATTGGCCGCCATCTTGTTTTCGGATTATTCGCAATGCCGAAGCAGTCATCCTGTGGTACTTGCTCCAAACTAGTCGGATACCGTGCAAATGTCCTCACGTGTGCATTTTGCCTAGTTAAATACCACATTTCATGTGTTGGATTAACAGTTGAGCATTTTCATCGCCTTCGCGAGATCCAACACGATTTCGTCCAAACTATATGTGAAAATTGCCGAAATCAGATACAGCCAGAAAGAGTAAAGCCGACGTGTAGTCCTCAGCGTTTCGTTGTGAACAGCTCCGTGTGTTTGGCCCAACAACCTAGCGCGAAGAGCCTTCAGGTTTCGGCTCAGTCGTCCTCCTCTACCCGTGCAAACTCACTGACACGAAGTCCAACCGTTGTGAGAAGCCCAGTTGCACCTGGGCTAAATTGTTTACCTTTGTTGTGTCCACCGGACACTGATGTCCCAGCAGGTGAAAGTCTGAGTGCTGAAGACCAGTGGAAAGATCAGAGGACGAAATTACGAAGGAACGTTGGGCGTTTACGTTCTGTAAGTCAACAGTTAGCCAAACCACTTGAGGCTGGTAGTGTACTTCGCCCTGCAAGGCCAACCTCGTCCGACCAGAGGCGTTATAATCTCGTGATCTTTCACGCACCGGAGTCCAGTGATCCATCACCCCAAGTGCGCTACGATCACGATGTCGAGTTTTTACAGGGTCTAATTGATAGACTCTTCGACGCTGGTGAGGACTCGGTAAAAGTGAGGCAAATTACCCGTCTTGGAAAGCAAGGTGATCAACACAATCGGCCTATGAGAATCACTTTTGTGGACGAAGCCAGTCCAAGACTGATCATGTCTCGCCTAAGTAGGCTGAAAGGTTTGAAGATCCATATTCGTCCCGACCTGGACCCAGTAGACAGGGAGCGGCTCAAGTATGCCATCATTGAGTTGAAAAGATGCACTGGTGAAGGGGAAACAAATCTTCGTATCGTAAATTTTCGGGTGGTTTCCAACAATCCGCGAATCAGGATAAACAGGCTGCTCACACTTCAAGCACGCCCGGTGGCTCCTGCTGCGGCCTGCGAGTAGCCTTCACAAACGTTTGCAGTATTATGAATAAGCGCGATGAGCTTTGTTGTTTCGTTGCGTCTGAGCGGCCAGACGTAGTGGGACTCGCAGAGACATAGCTGCATGCAGAGTTATACACCCAAGAACTTGAACTCAACGGTTACTCGTGTTTCCGATGCGATAGACTAAAGAATGCCCACGGTGGTGTCTTACTTTACATCCGGTATTCCCTGCGTGGGAGACTTGTGAGCACCTACCGAAGTGACGATGGCCTGTGTGAGCTACTGTGGTGCTCCATCCGCCTCAGACGCGGAGAACTGCTTGTTGGCGCAGTTTATCGCAGTCCCCTGAGTCGTTGTTTGGATTGGCTGCCCCATCTTCGGACCCACATGAGTCGTCCACACTTTCTGCTTATGGGCGATTTTAACTGTCCTCGAATACGATGGCCTGATGTGCATTTGATGCCTGGACATAGTGAGGTTGAAGCAAAGTTCGTGGATTTGGTACTTGAAACTGGTGCATCGCAACACATATGCCAGCCAACACGCATATCAACACGTTCAACCTTGTCCTGTTTCGACCTGATGTTAACGAGCTACGAACAACGAGTGCGTGACGTTAGGATCCTGGAGCCCCTGGCTACGAGCGACCACTCAGTACTGATAGCTGATATGGAATTATCTTTGCCGTATTCACATCCGCTGCAACCAGCTCCCAACTACTGGAAGACGGAGTTCGATGGTCTTGCTCGAGCCGCGAGCCAACTGGATTGGTCTCTGTCACAAACTGCATCTGTGGAAGATTGTTGGATATTTATAAAAGAGAGATTAACATCATTGTGTTCCAAATTTGTGCCATTGAAATGTCGTAAGGTTGGACCGATTAAGCCTCATTGGTTTGATAAGGAGTATGGAAACCTGGCTCGGAGGCGGCGCAGACTGTGGGACAAATTTCTTCTCTCTAACTCTGCCAATGATTACGAAGGGTATAAATGTCAGCGGAATCTCTGCAACAGTGCAAAAAAGAATAAACGCCGACACTTTGAAGAGCAGCTCGCATTAGCCGCGAAGACCGCCCCCAAGAGAATCTTTGCATACGTGAAACGACGCCTGAAGCCGGCGGGTGATGTGCCAGTGCTGGATGGCACGGATGCACAGCCCCTAACCTCCAGTTCTGAGCGTGCGTCCGCGTTGGCGGTGCACTTCGCTTCTGTATTTGCGAATAACCAGGTGCCTGTTCCGAGTTCGACGTGTACCGCTTTCACGGAACTCGATAGTCTGCATTGTGGCGTCGAAGAGGTAGCTCAACTACTCGCCAACCTTGACGGCACCAAACCTGCCGGACCTGATGGGCTTCACCCACTGGTTCTCAAGTCACTTTCAACCATCCTCTCTCCTATCGTGACTGACCTTTTCAACAGGTCGCTCTCCGAAGGTTTGTCGCCGGTTGACTGGAAATGTGCGGTGGTGAAGCCTATTCCGAAAGGCGGCGACCCTAGCAAAGTAGACATCATCATCATCATCATCAACAGCAGTACATCAGCCATTTGAACTGATGCTTCGCTGCCATACAACCATGAGGACCTATGAAATAAAGAATAAGAAGAGGGAGAGAAGGGGGACTTACCTGAAAACCTTAATGCCCTAAGCAAACATTCAGGGTCAAGGCGCCTACACCTTGTGTTAACAACATTCCGTCACAAACAGCTGGCTATCGTGCAAAGATAAGGCGGCATCGGCGAGACAGCTTCATTGCGGCTTTCACTGCCACGCGTCATAATCAGCCATTACCCAGCAGATAACTCAGCAGCAAACACACTTTAAACAGACAATCCAATTAGGAGACGGCAGCAGACGCGCCACTGGTGTCGGTTGCGAGCCATGTCCTGTAAAGTCTCGAGCCAAGCACAAGATGAGTCACGTGGGCTCCAACCCGGAAGGCGAGACGGACCAACGGCACCCAGTTTGGTCGTCAGTGACTTCATTTCCCGCTGCCAAGTCAACTTCTGTCCACCTCGAGCCTTGCGCCATCCGACACCTGGTAGACTGAACAAGGCCCTCCTAGGTAAGCGGTGACCAGGCATGCGTAGCACGTGCCCGAGCCAACGTAACTTATTCAGTGCTATCTGTTGTTCTAGCGAGCTAGCATGATCATCACCACCTAGTACTCGCCTACGCACATCATCGTTGCGGACACGCTGGTGCCATCCGACACCAGCAATGCTTCGCAAACAACGATGATCAAAGACTTGAAGGCGCCTCAGATCTTCAGACCGAAGGGGCCAAGTCTCACTACCATAAAGCAGAACGGCCCTCACTGTGGCCTTGTATACACGGCCTTTCAGACGGAGGGAAACTCCCTTCTGTCGCCAAAGATGACGCAGGTTCAAGAAGGCAGCTCTGGCCTTTGCAATGCGTGAGCTCACGTCAGTTTCTATGCGCCCATCATTGCTGATGCAGCTGCCAAGATAATTGAATTGATCAACCATCTCGAGTTCCTCGTTAGCAAGCGTCAAGGGGTCATCGAGTGGCTGGTGGTCCTGCAGCAACACTTTGCACTTTGAAGGTGCGAAGTGCATACCAAATAATGGGACCACTCTGGATAGACTATTCAGGGTTGATTGTGCCGCCTCAACATTGTCGAAAAGCAAGACGATATCGTCCGCATAATCTAGATCAACTAACCGTTCACCAGGCAGCACTTCAACACCTACATCGTGAGATTCCGCAAGGGAACACTCCATGATAGAATCCACGACGAAATTGAACAAAAATGGGGAAATCGGACAACCCTGTCGAACGCCACTTGTAGTCGAAAAGCTATCCGATAGGGCACCATAGACCCTGACGCGGCCTCTAGTGTTCGAGTATAGAGCACGAAGGATGTTCACATATTTCGTGGGAACACCTTTTCGCGCAAGTATTTCGAACAGAATCGATCGATCGACTGAATCGAACGCACTCTTGAAATCGAGGAACACAGCTATTGTCGGTCTGCGGTATGCGTGGCGCTGCTCTAGCACCTGCCGCAAAGTAAATATATGGTCTATACAGCCAC